ARGAARAAAAAAAAAGCTGCACTTTTAATTTTTTTTTTCTTTTCCTTCTGGAAAATTGACTTTTCAGGCAGAAGAAATATTCAGGAAAGACTCTGCTTCAAGCACCGCATCTGCTTGCCCTGAAACTGCGCCTGTTGCAAGGCAAGCGGCTCAGAACAACGTCCCCCTGCGCCGGGGGCCGACTTTGGGCCCTACATTAGGCAGGGAGCAATGCAAATAACAGGGGCAATAAATGCTGGGAGTGTTTGCGGAACGCTGGAATAACAACCAAGTCCTGAGCCGGAGAGCCGGGCGCTTTCCGGACAGCGTTCCCGCTCGCGTGCTCTTAAGCACCGACGTCGGCAGCGYCGGCGAGCCCGGCGCGAATGAGCCTGTTACCTGCTCGTACTTCTCCAGCTCCGTGTGGTAGATCTGCCGGATCTGCGAGAGCTTGGCCCTGTAGTCCGAGTGCTCCACGGAGTTGTCGGAGCCGGCGCCGCCGGAGGCAGCGGCGGCAGCGGCGGCGGCGGCCGAGCCGCCCCCCTTCTCGGGGCCGGCCACCCCCTCGGCCAGCAGCATGTTGTCGAGCCGCATGAGCTGCGGGTCCGTGGGCTCCTCTTCCTGCGCGCCCCGGATGCTCAGCACTGCACGGGAGACACAAGGGCGAAAGGGGCCGTGAGCGGCGCCCGAGGGCTGCCGAAGCCGCGCGAACGCGGCGAGCAGCGGGAAAAGAACAGGGGAGCAGCAGGGGAGAAAGAGCAACCTTCGGCAAGTGAACAGAAAAGAGGCAATCCCGAGGAGCAATGCATCCCGTTTTCCCATTTCCTCACACATGGGAGCTCAAAACGCTTTGCAAAACGTGCGCCACGTACGGGCGCTTGCGGCCACCTCTGCCGGAGCTGGGTGAGGATGGCCCTGGATTTACACAAACCTGCGACAGACTTGACCCTTCTGTTGTTTTCTTTCTTTTTTTTCCCTTCTGACCCCCTAATTTGCAGCACAAACAGCATCAGATGATTTTCACTGCTTTAAAAACATATATTTATAAACCACAAATCTGTTGCCAATGAGAAGCAATAATAGAGCAGTAAAACACACACGCACAAAATCCCTGCTTAACCACAGGTATGTTTTCCCTTGCTCTAAAGTAAGTTTGAGAAAGATACAGTTGTTATTAATATAAAATCACTTCAAGTGAAGGTTTGCGTAACAGAAACAGCTTTTCTAAGCCTCAGCTCCTCAGAGATCACTAYTTCAGGCATCTCCTTAATTGGTGTTTTCGTGTTCAAAACACTGACTGCAAACAAAGCTTAGAAGGTCAGGATATAAAAAGGAAAAATAGAAAAGAAAAAGAAAGGAAAAAGCCCCCAAACAGTAAATGTGCAAAAGAACAGGCCAAAAATAAATAATTTCACGCTGGGGATAATAATTTATATAAATAGCGATGGGGCACAGTGCCAACTTGAGGTCCAGGAAGCCTGGAAAAAAAGCAGAAAACGGGAAGGGATGACAAGATGCAGGGGAGAGAGATACTGGCTACAAAGAGAGGGAATAAGCCCTGGCTCTCCTCCCATAAAACCTTRAATAAAAGCATGTCCAAAACTTAAATAAAAACGGAAAGCAACACGGATAAATAACAAGAAAAACTGAAGCGAACAGACCAAAAAGCAGAGGCGCTAAAAGAGGGATTTCAGAAGGGAAATATTTTTGGAGGGAGCCCCCCGGGATGCGCTGGCCTGGCAGGGAGCACGAGTGCTGAAGCAGCTGGTGTCGGGAGAGCTCTCCCGTGATGGAAAGGACTGGATAAACCGTGCAAGCACAAGCGCCCGGCCCAGCACCTAGGGTGTCCTCATGTGCATATGCACACATGTATATTAACATATATACAAAAAATATACCTATATAAAAATATATATGCATATAGACACAGAGAGGGTTGGTGCTGGATGCTCCGCGTATCGGATCCCTCCTCGGCACGCGCAGCTCCGGAGCGGGAGCCGGCGCCGCGCGGACGCGGCTCCGTGGCCGGCGAGGAGGCGGCGATTAAGGAAATAAATGAAAAGGCCAATGTGTGTAAGCAGAGCTGATGCTGCCTATTCATCCCCGGGAGGCTGCGCTGGGGCCGCGGGGAGACACAGGGATTATTTCAGAGCGGCGCTTCACGCAGCCGGCGCTCCCGCGAGCCGGGCGTCCGAGCCCGCCCRGCCCCTCCGCCTCTCCGCATCCGCTCGGTGGGAAACGCTTGCAGGCAGCCCCAAAAGGGAGGCAGCCGGATAGGGCAGCCCCGGAGCCGCCCGTTCCCAGCAGGGATGAGCAGCCGCTGACCTTTCCCAGTGGCCACGGCAAGCGGGCTCGGCCGGGAAGCCGACCGGCAATGCCGGCCGCGGGGAAGGCGGCGCGGGAGGGCGCCCAGGCCCCGGCTTTCCTGGGGCTCTCGCTTTTCACATGGAATTACACTGGAGCAAATAAAGCAGAGTGGCGTCTCCCGCTCGCCGGGCTCCCACGGCTCAGGAGCGGGCAGCGCTTTTCCAACAGAAACCTGGAGCCGAGAGCCGGCTCCCAGGCACGTGCGCTCCCCACGCTCTATTCCTGATTGAAGAGGAGAAGAAGGGAGGGGAAAAAAACAAAGCAAGCAAGCAAGCGAGCAAGTGAGAGCCGGAGGAGGGGAAGAGGAAAGCGAAGGGGAGCAGGACGGGGTGTCGGGGCCGCCTCGGCAGCGCCGGGGCCGCTAGAGGGGGCTCGCTCCTCGCTCCATATAGATCTATACACACACTCAATTCATATATATACACACACACACACACCCCTACATATATATGTGGGGTGTATATATATATTTTAAAATACATATATACATGTGTTTTAAAACCAAAGCAGAGCCACGCAGCCTGTCCCCACGTGCGCTGCCGCTCCTGCGCTCCCGCGGAGGGAAGCGCTCCGCTTGCCAGGGGCAGGGCCCCACATTCCCCACGGGAATGGCATCAGGGTGACCAGCACCAGCAGTGGGAGCCCTCGGGGAGGCCGGGGCGCAGGGCAGCCCCCAGCCCGGCCCGCTCGCCGGTGCCGTGCAGGGTTGCGGGGCGATTCCAGCGCTCCCGGCGGGAATGAATTCCCTCGCCTGCGCTGGCGGGAGGCYGGTTCACCGGGTCGTGCCCGGGTTGTTCTGCTTGGGCATTTCCAGCAGGCGCAGGCCGGGAAATGGCTCCCGTGCTCGCTCCTTCTCGCGCTCAAACAAGGACTGACGGGCACTGCATGCGGAGGAAAGCAGCCGAGGGCGATGCCRGGCTGCGCCGCTGCCTGGCGGCACTGCAGGGACACGGTGGCACTGCCAGCCCTGAAAAGCAGGCGAGGAGGCAAAACCAAAAATAACCCAACCTTTAAAAGAGCCCCTGGGCTCGTGGCCTGCCCTGTGATGCAGGGACACGGGGTGTGAGTTGCAGCGAGTCCCCACATTATATCCCATGGCCTGGGATTCCGTCGGGCTCTGGAGCCAACCCCCGGTGCACGTGAGATGGGCAGCGGGTCCCCCAAGCGCCGTGGCGTTCCCACGGCACAGCACCATTCCCAAGCGCTGGGCAGCCAGCCAGCCTGAATTCCAGCCTTGGAAGGGTCTCAGGGCAGGAGAAAGACATTCCTTGGTCAGACACGGTGCTGGGCCTTAATGGACTGCGCCCCAAGGGGYGGCTGAGGGCTTTGAAGAGACCTAAGATGTGCACTGAAGCCAGGCCCAGGCCTCCTGCTCCACAACCCTAACAGCCCAGCCCCATATTTACTCCATCCTCCTGGAAGCACGTTTCCGAAGGGAGCTGCAGCGCTGGCTTGGCGCAGGAGCCCAGCATGCAGGCACCCCTCTCCTCCACCACTGAAGGCCCCAGCGCGACAGCTCCCTGCTCTCCAGTCCCCTCACATCCCACCAGTTTTCCAGATCCCAGCAACGCCAGCAGAACACCACAAAGGCCACCAAGGGCCGCCAGGGAGGACGGCAGCAGGTTAGCCATGCTCCCCGTGGCCAAGGGACAGGCGGCTGAGACAGGAAAGGGAGGCTCCAACCTCCAGGCTCCACCTGATTTCTCCAAAGGGGCCTGGGCCACCAACATACGAGAGAGGCAACCGAAAGGCCGTCCTGGCTAGACTCCCACTCATGCCAGGAGGCGGGCAGCTCTGTCCCCGTGTCCCCAAGCACTCCCTGCCCTTGCACCTTCCCGCCCAGCACATCTCACACACCTGCACGCACGGGCGGTCGCCCCTCTTTACACCTGGCCAAGACTTCCTGAGCACGAGGAGAAGGCTGAGCAGAAGAAACAGGAGGAGCCCGAGCCAGGGGGCTCCATCCAAGGGGGGCATTTTGGAGGAAGACGACACACTGAACGACACCGGAGCAGGCCCAGCAGCTGCCTGCATTCGGGTCTTCTCCTCTTTGCTTCTGCCCTTTCCCAACTTGCTCAATTGCCTTTCCAGGGGGACGTTTTAAAGGAGAAGGAGATTTCAACTAAATGATTGCAACTTATCGAAAATAATGTGCTACTTAGCATCGGAGACAAGCATCCTGGCAGGCAGAAATGGGAAGCAGTGACGGAGCAGATGGGAGTAATTAGGTTGTGATTTTCAGAAGGGTTTTCTTTCCTGCCTCCACTGTGCCGAAGATGTATGGCAGGGGGAGCCACCTAAGGAGAGAGCGGCRCGAGGAGCGCGCGGTTCCTCCACGGAGCCGGTGCCGGTGCTGCGCGCATCCCGCGGGATGCCCGGAGCGAGGCGGCGCTCAGGCCTCACCTGCACAGCGGGGTAGAAAAGGCCTTTTCCAGGTGCTTTCCTGGCCTGTGAGTGTCAAACGCAGCAGGAACGCGCACCAGCTCCTCCCTGGACACRCAGGAGCTCCTGTCCTCACCCTGCAGACCCACGGGGCCACGCAGAGTCACCCCGAAGCGCCCCGGAGGGCTCAACATTGTCACACACGTGGCAWTTTTTCCATGGTTCGCAATGCTGGCTTCCCTTTGCAAAGTCCCAGCTTGAGGAATCGCGCATTTCACTGCTCCTCATGAAGGAGATTCTTCCAGACCTCCAGGTGTGCAATGACGGGGCGGCCCGGGCGCCGACAGGCACCCCCGCTAGCGAAACCTGCGCCGCCTCAGCACCGCAGCTGATCTCGGTATTTGCTGAGGCCCCACGCCGCCTTTGTGAACACTTGGGCTCAACAGCGCTGATCCTCACACAAAAACAGTCCCGCCTGCCTCGCACCCGGGGACTGCCGGACTGGGAGGACCCCGCTCAGGTRGCGGCTTGTGCCTGTCCCTACCCCTCGCTCATGGCACAGAACCTCCCCAAGCCACCTACATCACCAGGCACCTACTTGAACTCCCGTTTTTCCTCCTCCTCCTCTCTTCCACTGTATTTGTGGCTTCATTTCTTCTGTGCCCCAGCACCGCAGCAAAGCCCCCGCGCAACGGGGCGCACCACATTTCCTGGCTTGCGTGTCCCCAGAGCGACGTAACTCTAAATCAAGAGCTAAATCCCGCACTGTAAATTAAATCCCACACTGTATCACCCACACGCTCCAAGCCTATGTGCAAATCCTGACCAGGACTTGGCCAACTGGCAAAGCACTCAGCTGCTCCAGCTCAACCCAGGCCCAGCCCGTGTGAAATCCCACCAAGCATCCCAAAGGAGCCCTGCTCCAGGCACAGCCCTATCCACATGTGATGACAAGACAGAATTGGGGGAAGCAGGAATAGCCCTTCTTGCACCGAGCCTCCCTTATACCACCAA